AAATGTTCACCAAAAAACAGAAAAAAAAGAGTGGAAAAGCATGCGGCAATAGCTGAGTGAAAGAGGCAGCTGATGAGTTAGTCTGTGCTTGGCCAGCGCCACTTACACAGTATCGACCGCCGTTGTTGACGTTAACTTGGCCGAAACGGGCGCTTTGTTTGACTCGAATGTACGTTTGCAATTGGATTGGCAACGCCCTCGCACAACCACCAACAAGCAAAGTTTCCGCCCTATTCATCGCCTCGACAAATGTTTAAAAATTAAAGTTTGTTTATACGCTTTTTGCGGCATTGATTTCAGCGTCTTGCTGCGAAATGTCAGCGCAGGGTGACCTTTGGGAAGCTATCATTGAAATTTTCAAGGCAGCATGTGTGTGTGCGTGCGTGTGTGTGAGTGTGTTATATTTCTCAAGTTGCAAGGTTGTGTTCAACAAGTATCTGCTGCAGTTGCGATGCCTTGACACACAAAAGCCCAACCGCACAGCACATGAGACATTGTGCGGCCAAAAAGCCTAACCGAATATGCATGCTAGTTTAGAGCTTTATGCAAATGCACCTCACATCTAACCCCAGGCACACACGCGCACACACCCACACACACACATATACACACACATAACATAACGGCAGCAACAACAGAAAACACTTCGCAAATGTAAGCGACCTCGACGCACCGCCAACGGAGAGGACAACTTTCATTTGCATTTAAAGTGCTGCCATATGGCCAACAAGGTGGTGTATTCATGCCCCGGAGCGTGGCACATCATATAGGTATTTGGTCTATGAAAAAAATTGTCAAGAATTTTTAAAAATATAATAGAATATTTGCAATAAATTGAGATGTGAAATGAACAAACGAAAATGTTTGCATTTAATTAAAACTCGAACTGAAAGTATGCGTAAGAGTAAGAGTAAGAGTAAGAGTAAGAGTAAGAGTAAGAGTAAGAGTAAGAGTAAGAGTAAGAGTAAGAGTAAGAGTAAGAGTAAGAGTAAGAGTAAGAGTAAGAGTAAGAGTAAGAGTAAGAGTAAGAGTAAGAGTAAGAGTAAGAGTAAGAGTAAGAGTAAGAGTAAGAGTAAGAGTAAGAGTAGAGTAAGAGTAAGAGTAAGAGTAAGAGTAAGAGTAAGAGTAAGAGTAAGAGTAAGAGTAAGAGTAAGAGTAAGAGTAAGAGTAAGAGTAAGAGTAAGAGTAAGAGTAAGAGTAAGAGTAAGAGTAAGAGTAAGAGTAAGAGTAAGAGTAAGAGTAAGAGTAAGAGTAAGAGTAGAGTAAGAGTAAGAGTAAGAGTAAGAGTAAGAGTAAGAGTAAGAGTAAGAGTAAGAGTAAGAGTAAGAGTAAGAGTAAGAGTAATAGTAAGAGTAAGAGTAAGAGTAGTAAGAGTAAGAGTAAGAGTAAGAGTAAGAGTAAGAGTAAGAGTAAGAGTAAGAGTAAGAGTAAGAGTAAGAGTAAGAGTAAGAGTAAGAGTAAGAGTAAGAGTAAGAGTAAGAGTAAGAGTAAGAGTAAGAGTAAGAGTAAGAGTAAGAGTAAGAGTAAGAGTAAGAGTAAGAGTAAGAGTAAGAGTAAGAGTAAGAGTAAGAGTAAGAGTAAGAGTAAGAGTAAGAGTAAGAGTAAGAGTAAGAGTAAGAGTAAGAGTAAGAGTAAGAGTAAGAGTAAGAGTAAGAGTAAGAGTAAGAGTAAGAGTAAGAGTAAGAGTAAGAGTAAGAGTAAGAGTAAGAGTAAGAGTAAAAGTAAGAGTAAGAGTAAGAGTAAGAGTAAGAGTAAGAGTAAGAGATAGAGTAAGAGTAAGAGTAAGAGTAAGAGTAAGAGTAAGAGTAAGAGTAAGAGTAAGAGTAAGAGTAAGAGTAAGAGTAAGAGTAAGAGTAAGAGTAAGAGTAATAGTAAAAGTAAAAGTAAGAGTAAGAGTAAGAGTAAGAGTAAGAGTAAGAGCTACTGCAAACTGCATATACTAACTACTTATTAATCTGGCAGGTAAGCTGCAAACTTTGCTAATGATTAAGAAATTTATGCACGTTGTCTGTGAAACATCTTCCCAATTTAATTTTAACATTAACAGAGGCTATCAAGGGATTTTGTACTCTAATTGCTACTTTATAAACACGTAAATGGCTGCTCAGTTAAATTTGCAAGTTTATGAAGTTCGCTTAACGTTCCTCAGATACGGCAGCCTGATTACAAATGACAATCAGAAGGAGCCTCAACTAAAAAGGCCGTAGGCAAAATTCCCAACCAGAAGGCAGAACTAGGTGGAGCCAGGTGTAGATGTGGGTCAAAAAGGTGTTTAGCACAGACTGTTGGCCAACTTCTATATGTATTTAATTTGAAAATGCGACACTGACACTGCGGCACGAAGTGTTTCGTGTAAATTAAATTACAAGCGCGATGATGCTGAGTGTCGACTGGAACAGTCTGAAGCCAGATGGCGGCTCGTTCGACCGGAACTAGCACATTAAATTTTCATTTAACCAAAAGTCCCTAAAGTTGAAAACACGCTACTGCACCACCAAATGCCACAACCGTTTGATCCCCGCTGCCTGCTGCCTGCTCCCTGGTCGCAATGTGTTCAAAGAGAGCAGTCAGACACATGTGTACATAAGCACATATGGACCTAAAAACTGTTGCAAATTGTGGTACACCCAAAAGCGGATATTGCGGCACGAACTTGAAAAAAATATCGACACTGTCAGAATGGTCAATAGAAACGCTTAACGCATTCACAAAACTATTTTGGCTAGCAGTTCCGACTGTCTGTTCGTTATTTAAATGTATGTTTACTTTGAACCGAACCTGAAGACAAACAAAAGCAATTCAACCATAAAAAAATATTCTTATTATTTTATTTTTATGTTTGAGTCTGCTTTGATTAAAGTGCAACATCTCAACACTTAATGAACCACCTGCAGCTGCTCTCTGCAGGTGCTCTGCATTTTCAGCCTAGACGCCCAGCACGGCCGCTCCAACTACTGAGAGAAATTTATCCTCCAAAATCTCTCGTTTTCTCTTATATTTGATATCAGAAATAAATACCGAAACTCCACCAATAAACTAAAGAAAAGAACAAAGAATTAAATGTACATGCGAAACAAAAAGTACCAAAGGAATCAGTACATTCTTGTGAATGCCATGAATATATTCACCACATTTGCAATGAGCTGTAGCTCTGTATTACATCAAGCTGTATCAAGCTAGTCAACATACAATGTGCCATGCATTTACCCGGCTTTATTATACCCTTTGTATCTATTTTATAGATGCAGGACATAATAACTTCCGCCAAATAAAATGAGATGTCTATTTAATTCAATATGCGCTGGTAATGCAGCAAATCGGCATGGAACAGAAATCGAAATTGAGTGTATAGAGAAGGCATCAATATAAATAAAACTAAAATAAAATGCCAATAAAGGGAGCAGCTTGTGCGCTCCTAGCCTGATACTAATACTTATGCATGTGTATACACAAATACAAAGCAGCGAGTATATATTACATTGAAATAGGAAGCGGAAATGGGATTTTGGTTTTGTTTTTCGTTAGCCGCTTGGCGTATGGCTTATGGCGTATGGCGTATGGCGCATAGCAATTCGAAATCCCCTAAATACAATAAATTGTGCATTTCATTTAATTCCATTTCATTTACAAAGCGAAACCAAATCCAAGCAAACAAAGGGGCGGCATTGTGGGTGCTGGCAAAATGGCGCCCAGCCGCAGTAAGACGCAACAGCAGAGACTCGCTGAACAATAAAAACAGAGAGCGCAAAGAAAATATAATAAATAAATAAATAAATATAACAATTGAACCGAAATGAATGAAACGAAATGAAGCTCATGAACTGCTGCCGGATAGTACTGGATTCTGGGATTCAGCCACATAACGCACTGCAGCTAAAGTTGATAAAAACAGGACGTGGCAGCAGCTGTTCGAAATGTATTCACATTGCATGCCCAACACTTTGTTCCGACTTTTTGGTTCATCATTTTTCATTCACAGCGTTCTCCATCAACTCCTTTGTATGCTGTAAGATTGAAGCACATGCGTCGAGTTTGCATTCAAAGTATATTTAAGCTTATGTTCCGGCTAAAGTCCTTTGACTCAGGCTGTTATCTTGTTACATTTTGTATATAAGGCAAACTACAATTTTGCATTTGAGCCAAATGTTATCAACATTGTACTAGAATTAACTGTCAAAGAATAAGCTGCCGAGAATTTAGTTTTCTTTAGTCTAAAAAGGTTTTTAGTCAAATTTGCAAGTGTTGTCAACATAAAACTTCTATATTATATAGCTCATTTTGAAAAGCAAGAAACGGTCTAAGAATGATATTTCTTTAATTTGTTTTTCAAGACATCTCGACCAAACTGTACAGTTACGAATTTCTGATTACTTTTTCACTATTCTTCTGACTACTTAACTACATTGCACCAACATTCGTTCCGATATAAAGGGTTCGCTTAAAAAATATTCTACAAGGGTATTTACTCATCGTTGCGACGAAAAAGCCGTCCTTTTATTTTTTTTATTTTTTTGGTTTTCCTTTTATTTTGCATTATTTTTCGATAAAGTTTCCTCAACTGTTTTTCTTTTCTTTTCATGCACTTTTAGCCACACTCAATAGCACCATATTAAACAGTCGGCGTCTTTGATGTATTCACAACTTTACACACGCGCCCAACTTTGCGATTGAAAACAAAGTTATTGAAATTCTGTTTCTATAAAACTTTTAGCATAATTCAATCATTTCCGTTCACCAGCTCTGTGGTGAAATCTCGAATGTAATGAGATTTCCGAGAACAATTGTAAGAGTTTTGCTTATATTTATTTTGAGAATTGCAGTACACCGAATGGTTTAGATAAGTTGAGAAAACAAGAGAGCTACAAATTTCAACTAGAATGTTTTAATGACAAAAGTGCTAAATTTATTATATATGCTTTAGACTTATTCTGTTTTATAGTAGAGACCCTAGGAAGCTAATAACTAACTCATTTCTATCTCTTTTTTCATTCCTTCTACAGTGACACTTCGATATCAACGCGCGTGGACATGCTCACGCCTGCTATTGAAGTCTATAAGCCGCCACTCTGACACAAAGATGACACTGTGGAGAGCAATTTAGGGAATCCATCGACGAGTAGCGATTTCTAGCAGAAGCTAATCATCACTGCGGAACTAACTACGGATAATCTATTTGTTCTTCCATCATAGTGTCAATCAAGTCTAGCTAACTGACTAATCTGAATGCCATTGGCAATGGCGGCCAAACAATTCCTCAGGCGCCCAAAAGCCAGGGCCAAGGCCGTCGATAACTACAGTGGGGGGGAGGGGGCAACACTGAAAAGTTTTAGCAAAACTACCAAATAACAAAAACACATATGTATACCCATACTAAACACAAATACACACACAAACACACGCACACACATGAACACTGAAGTGCAACAAGAGAACAAACACATGAATAATAATAATAATAATTGATCCAACTGAATAATTCCTAAGATTGATTACATTTAGTTACTTTTTAGCGTTAATGATTTTTAAACCTGGCCGTGTGGCGGCAACCCAAATGCTGCAAAAGAAGCAAAAACAAATGGAAACTAGTTCTAAGCATAGGTTATTCAATATATACTACATATATACACGTATATATATTTACGGCAATGCAACATCGCATATTTTCTTATAAGAGTGATGAAAGGTGGCGCATAAGAATTGTGTTTGTATCTGCAACAAATTTATTATGTAATATGTAGTAGGTGTATATTAAGGCGAGAGAAATGTTTGCAATGTGTAACGAAAATGTAAATTTAGTTATGTAAATTTAAATGACAAATATAGCAACAAACAGAAGTTAAAGAAAGGCACACAGAAACCACAAAACCATATTTGTGAAAAGAAAAAAAATGCAATGAATAATTTTTGTACTGCTGAAAAGAATAAAGACAAGAACACATGATAATATAAAAATTTAACATTAGATGTACAATTTTGCATAGTTTATAAATAAGTTTGTAATGCATTAGTAATTAATTACCAAACCGAATGCAAAAGTTCAGCTAAATTTAGCAACCAAAACATTGAAAACCTCCAACAACTGAAATTGTTTCTCAATTCGAAATTCGCATAAAATATGCATTGAGGATATTTATTTAAATAACCATACTCATGCTACAGTTATTATTTTTTGCATATATGCTCTGAATACATTTCAAATCAAAAAAAATAAACATTGATGATATAGTTGTTCGTTGTTCCTTTAGCAAATGCTTTACTACGTCCAAGCCGATGATATTGTTGTTAATGAGCCCTTCACAAAGTGCCCCAAGTTAATATGGAGTTGGTAACATGTTTATTTGAAATAAATTTGATTGATAGGCGTAAATAAATATTGTTTAAACACCACACCAAATTTTGTTCAATCACTTGTTATTTAATAAAAACAAATGTCGTAGTCCCTTTTGTAAATAAATAAAATGTTTGCAGACATAGTTAATTATTGTTTTTGACTGTGATCACATTAATAATATATATAATGAATATATATTATTGATAGCAATTTGTTACATTGATAAACAAACTTAAAGCATCTTTAACTTAAATCAACCAATCAAAAGCAATTTAATTCACGTCTTGCTTCAATATTAATTATACAAAATTAAAAAGGTTTTTTGTTTTACGTTTTTCAAAAAGTTTCGATGAGCGGCATTGAAAAGGAACAAAACTATTAAAAAGTAATGAAAACATAAACGAAATTCATTTCGCAAGCACTTTTAAAGCGCTTTTTTAACTACTTCCGAAGACAATGTTTTAATTGATTTTCGTTATTAAAAGCTTTCATTTGTAGCTTAATCCACTGAAACTAAGACAACATTTAAATGTTTCTTTATTCGTTGTAAACTTCTTTTATTGCAGGCATTGAGCTTGAATAAATGGAATGGATGTATGCCATAGTACTTCATACACAATACAAAATTGTGCTTGACAATATCATTTCTAAAACAAAACATAGAACATTTAATTTGGCCAGAAATTTCGTATTATTTTTAATTGAATATGTTTTCGAAGCATTTCATAAAACCGCTCACAGAACCACTGCGCCCTATTTACTAGATGTTGCTGCTAAGCTACTTATTTTGTTCAAGTTGAGCCTAAGCTGGCAATGGGATATTGAATGTTAACATTTAGTGTATTAGAGAGTGGCGCAGAAATGTTCGGAATTTGGCAATTGCATAGTGTTATTATTATATTTTATATGCATCAAAATACATAAATGTGAATGCCAGACGCATATGCTAAGCCGATAAACATATAGTTGAATACAACCAACCTGATAAGGTCATAAACGAAGCTATATGATAATGATAATATCAGGATGTTCATAGTTAAGCGAAAACAATAATAGCAATGGCATACATATATATATATATATATATAAAAAGAAGACAAATTGTACATAAGTTGAGAGGTGCATATAATTTTGATAGTTAAGCTAATTGAAATCATTTTGTAAGACACGAAGAGGAAAATACATGCAAATAAATGAAAGCAAAGCAAATTGAGTACTAAACTAAGCAGCGCATCGGTAGAAAATATGCCTCAAAGAAGCAGCAGTTAATAATTAAATAATACATAATATCCATTTTATACACACGCTTCATGTTGAACATGCTCGTTGTTTATTTCGTTGTTACATAAATACATAATATATGTACATACATATGCAATCAAAGTATGAATATTGAATGAATAACAATTTGAACACTTGCACACAACACTTATTTTTACAATTGGCTTTGATAGGACTATGGTTTAAATATTTGATAAGAATTTAATTTACAAGCAATTTGAATAAAAAAATAAACACAAAACATAAAAATTAAATAAAAAGAATCGTATAAAGAGCAAGCAATGCAAAGTGGCAAAAACAAAAGAAAAATAATAATAATACAAATGGTAAGCATTGAAATGAACACGAAATGAACAATAACATTTATATAATACACAATGAACAGAGAAATAATCGAAAGCATATAAAAATAATAATAATAATAATAATAGAACTAGGCGCATATTGAAAAATAAACAAGAACTATTATTGAATGAAAAAGAGAAAAAAACCATTTACTGCGGTGTTTTTTCTTTTCTTAGGGGAGTACAATTTTTGATTTGCACTTAGTTTGGAAGATACATCAAAATCTTTAGCTAGTATATGAAGCGTTTAGGGTGAGCAGCGAGTCATAGGAACATCATTAACAACAACGATGAACTGAATTACAGAAATCCAATGAATTTTCCATGTAACAAAATGGCGTACACTTAAGTGAGAAGCAGAAGAGCAACAGCAACAACATCAACAGATATATAAGTGTATAACACCAGCCATCATCGTCCACAATTCCGGGCCGTTGATTCTGTTGCTTGCGGATGCTTGTGGCGCAACCCACATGAGTTGCCACAAAGCAGCGACGCAGTCGCGAGTTTGCTTCTGCGACAACAAAAATGAAATGAAGTGAAATGAAATCAAAGGCATCCATCGGCGGGGCTGTCGACGTCAGAGAGCAACGCATGGAAATAGACACAAAGTCGCTATGGTAGCGCACACGGTATCGAGCTGGCAGCCATTCCAGACAGTTCCGGGGCCACAACGACAGTACCAATGATGATGTTTACAGTTGAGCTGCAGCGCCAAGCACCAAGCCACCCATCCTACAAATCCCAACAGCAGCCATCGAAACTAACTGGTTTATGCGCCATGCGTTCATGTGTGCACACCTCCGCCCCCAACCCGCCAACTACACCTCCTTGTCATTTCGTCTATGGCCTTTTCCCGAACAAGCTCCACAGCCGAGGTTTTTGTGCTCATGTTGTCTGCTAGGGGTTCCCATTGAAATCTCAAAGTGAGCTTGCCTTACTTTGTGGTCGCTCTTTGTCTATGAAATACCCAAAACAAGATAGAGCGGTTATGGTTAATGCGGTCGTAGCGGAAGCAGAGCAGGTTTTGAGTTTGGCGCAAATATGCCATAACTATGAAGTAAATTTGAACAGCTTCGATTAGTTGGGGTGCCAATACTGAGCAATATCAAGTACACCAGACGGTATTGAATTCAATTTATAGTTGAACATCGATGATATCCTCTTCCTAAATTGGATGAGCCGCCCATGGAAAATAGGTTTTGAGAAATAAACGGGTTAAATACGTGTGAAAATGCAGACAGCGAGTAAATGTCTCTGACCCTACGCCGACGAGCTTGCAAATTGCTAATTGAGCATATTTTGGATTTTATGAAAGCAATACGCAGCACCATTCGGAATAGGTCAGTTTTATAAGCTTAACTGAGCTCGAAGCATAATGTGCGTTGGTATTTTAAAGAGGATGATATTCCATCGCGTTTCGCACCACCTTTAGTAATCTATCAGGAATCTAGGGAGCACCTAACACTTACTTTCCCATAGAAGCATTCGCCCGTAGCCTTTGGCTTCATTAATGCAAAATAAAATAAAGAAAAAGACGGTATATGGGCTCTCATATAGTTCATTTCATCAAGAGTATTTCATTTTAGAAAATACATTTCCACAATATGCCCAAAAACTACCCAGCCCCAAAAATATAGTATAATATGGATACACAACTGAGCAAAAATGCATGTTTCGTCAATTCAGGCCCTCTGATATATCAGAAGACTTTTTCTATCGACGAATAGCTTGCATAAAACTTCTTTGCTTACCTTCTGATCAGTCGTAAACTCATTTTCAAACAGAACCTAATGGACACGCGTTTAGCGATTTGGCTTCACGTTCAGTCAGCTATGGCCCTTTTCACAGCTGCGTATGTATTTATGTATGTATGAAAGTATGCGTCTTTTTATATGGTATGCATGTATGTGTGTGTAAATATTCATGTAAGTGTATATGTATGCATGTATGTATGTATGTGTGTATGTCCGTATGTAATTATGTATGTATGTGTGTATGTGTGCATGTATGCATGTGTACATGTGTGTATGTATTTTTGTGTATATGTATGTATATAAATGTGTATGCAAGTAAGTGTATGTATGTGTAATGTATGCGTGTATGTATTTATGTATGTGCGAATGCATATACATATATGCATGTATGTATAATGTATGCATGTATGTATTTATGTATGTTTGTGTGCATGTATAATGTATGAATGCGTGCATGTGTTTGTTTGAATATATGTATGTACATATATAATTATTTATGTCTACCAAGTTTACATCTAGCTGCGCTGCAATTAAAAAAAAAATAACGATTTATTAACTAAAGCCCTACTATGCGATTCTCATAAATTCAAGTAAGTATCAGAGGCTTCACTTCAAGAGAAGGAGACGGCTTCTACTATAGAGGAGACGGCAGCGTGAACAATGGAGGCGACGGAGGCTTCATCTATGAAAGAGACGGCGGTCTTAATAATCACCTATGGAGGAGGCGATGGCTGTGGCTTAGACAATTAAAACGCGGTCATTCAAATAACTGGTACGTATTATCAACATAACGAAGTCTTAATATGCTTATCAACTTTTACAATCGCATGCATGCATGTTTGATTATATGTATGTATTTGAAACATGCACGTGCATGTAAGTATGTATTTAAATATAGGTGCACGTTGAGCTGAGAGGAAAATTAACAAGAAATATATTTATAAATATTGCTCAACTACCCGATGCTAACTAATTCATGCGAGATTTAGCAAGCAAGCAGTGATGGATTTATCTACTAGACAATTAGATGAGGATATAATAATTGTGCGCGAGAATTAATAGGTGAGTACGTTAATAAAAATTAATATTTATCTGAATACATAAAACTGTTTGTGCTGACAGACTAATTGCCTTTTAGGTATATTTTTTGCCATAACAAAACAAAAAAAAAAAAACAGGAGAGAAAATAGCGAAATTATTCAAGGTTGGCGTCCTAACCCACCTTTACGTGCGTATGTATATAAGAAGGCATCGATAACTCGTGGCTGGGGTCAGCGTATCTCCATTTCGTCGAGTCCTCAATAGAACAGTCTTGTTATATTTAATTTCCCTTATAAAGTAAATAAGCCTAGAATTTGTTTGTGACAGCTATATAAATTAAACTCAATGAACTTAACATAAATATTATGCATAAGCATGCTGCACTTGATTTAACATAAATTTAAACCATGAACTGCACTAGATTGAGACATGGACAGATTTTCAGAAACTCTGCCTTTGACATATGCGAAAAATATTTAGTTCATTCATTGGGCAGTTTTTCGAGTATTTCGCAACGTTCAACTGCAATTTGCTGTGGGCGAAATTCTTGAATGCTGTGGCACGCTTGTTGCTGTTTTTTCCGAATTTCGAGGAGCTATATGAAGCCAAAGTCTGACCCTTTTCACATTCCTAGAACGGGCCATGAAGGATACGCCCTGTTGTCGCAGCAAATCATGCTCAACATGACTGCAGAGCTACCTGCTGCTCGTACAAATCGAAAACAGCCCCCAGGCGAGGCGTGGTGCTACACATCTCAACAGGTATCCAAAACGTCGCCCACCTGCACGAGGCACAGCAGCCTGGCCATGCAAATGGCAAATCGCTTTGTTCGGATGGTTAGGGTAAAGTTGGAAGCTGAGGACTGGCAGTTTGGGTCAGAGGCGCAATGATTCGAGTGAAATGCCACTAAAGGGCGCAATTGAGAGAACAACAAGCTTAACAAGTTGCCATTGCCAGGAGCGCTCTTTGTGTTCCTAGTCCGTGTAGAGTTTCCCACGATTATTTAGGGCACGCTGGTGCGGTTCGCTCCGGATCGGGATACCCATGCACGGCAATTGAACAATATAATGTGTCATTTTTGGCGGCTCTGGGCGCGGCTTTAATTGCGCTTGTAAATCATAAATCAACAGTTGAATAATTTCATTGTAAATAACGTCCCACAGCTGACGCCCCCGCATAGGCAGTGAGGAGGGTCACTGAATTGGGTGCGAGTCATTATCGATTGGGCTGGCAGCCTTGAAAGCGGCACTTCAATGACGAAAGCCAAGCGTCCCCAGTGGCAACAGCCCAAAAGCATTCATCGGCTGTCAAACTTGAGTGGGGGAGCCGAGAAACTATGGCCAAAAGGGACCTCGACTGCATTTGCTTATTTTGCTTTAAATTTATGAACTTGACTTTTGGTTAGCTGAATCACCCGATATGCCCGTCGTCAACCGCCCAGTCAGCCCCCACCATCTGATCAGACACGAAATGCGGCGCTAAAGGCTTGCATGACTACAGGAAATTACCATAATTTCAATTAAAGAAATTAAACGAATTTTGTTGAAACGAAAAGAGCCTCGCAGTGGCCTCAGACTGGCATGCTAACAGCCAACGGGCAACACCATAAAGCCAAGGCTTTAATAATAAAATTGATTCCCAAAACACACACGCCAACACTTTTGAATGCTATATTAGAGCATACATATTCCTCACTACTTTTACCTTTGATTTAAGATAAATGCACAATACCTGGTCATCAATTAATATGCAACTATCTAGAGTAGTGTATAATATTAAGTAACTGTACAAAATTTGACGCCTAGTCACAGTTCGAAGTTTCATACAGAAGCGGGCTAAGGTCTGCCAACCTTATTTGAAGCGGAAATGTGACAACATTCAAAAACTGCTGAGACAACACTTAATGTAAGTAGTATATTAATTAAATTTTGCAACACTGTTTTATAATTTTTGCACTGGATGCGTTCAGCAGATAATGTTGTTATTAATGCTGCCTTAAAGTTCTAATTGAAAAAATTTCAAAACAGAATAGATGCGCAAACCAAACTACATGACGATTGTCTATTATTTGAAAAATAAAAAAAAAAATAATAACACAAAATATGTGTTAAGAAGATTAAATCAAAAATGTTTGCTGAACGCAGCCAATGCCACGTGGCAACTCTTCTGACACTGCACTTCGGCCACACAAAACTAACACACTAACCAAAACATTAAAACAAACTTGAATACTAACAACATGAATGCATATCAAAGCGATCCCCTGTTGCAAGTGGCCAAATGCGAGATGTGCCCTCAGAAGGTGACCAATTTTGTGGTCGGGCTGTGCGAGCGTTGTGTCGCCATTTGGACCAGCAAGCGTAGCATGGAGACAATGCACATTACCATTGACCACGTCAAGGCGGCCATTGTTAGCATGAGCCAAAATAAAACCAACCATCAGAATATGAACGCTGTGTTCCGGCGTGTTATCGAGGAGGAGCAACGACGCCGCAAGCTCAAAGTCGATCTCTTTCAAAAGTTGCGCGAGAAGTTTCAAGATGGCGTACTCTTACCAGAACTAGAGGAATGTTGTGAAAGTAATAGAATTGATGTGGAGGAGACCTTTTACGATGTGCCGTCGCCAGACGTGGACGTGGAACAAATAGAAGATTTGAGGTTTCGCAAAGCTTTACTTAATTAGCATGCATAAATAATCGCACATATTTAACTAATTGTTTAATTTTTTCAAACTCTGCAATTATATTTAACTGCATAGATACAGTATGTATATATATATGTATAATTGTATAGTATGTATTTACCAGCCAGTAAGCATATTATAGGCTCATTACAAATCCATTATGCCTAGACACTAAAATTGAATCCTTTTGTTGTGCGATGAACCCACAATTAATAGTCTTTTGTTTTTTGGTGCCCATAAATTGTTTTGCAATGGCCGAGGCATCAGAGGATGATGACCAGTCGAAAATCAATTGAAGCAATGTGATTGCTTGCCACTGAACCTCAGCCTGTTGAGGTCATTGGGGACTCGTGCATATTTCGGTAATGAAAATGTTTATTCAAATTTGCGTCAATGGCTATGTTTATCAGAAACTAATATCAATTTACATATGTAAATAAGTGCTAGCGACTACATGTTTGGATATGTCTCAGTGTATAGTTTGCATTGGGCCTGTCATTGTTCGACAATTTGTTTAATGACAAAACTAATAAATCAAATACTTTGTCTGTCCATTTCATTCAATTTGGTCAGCTCTATTATTTCGTAGGGCAAAGCTGACGTCACAACGCGTCATTAGCTCGAATATGGCCAAAACAGTGCTGAAACTACAATCGTTATAAGCTGCGTAGATGGCGCCACTGAGCGATAGATCGATAACAGTTTCGATTGCTCATGATCCCGTTGTTTAGCTTTGTCAACAAAGTCTCAAACAGCAGGTAATGGCAAGCCGGCTTCAGTCGAGCTTTAATTGCGAGCTATGCCAAAGAAAGGCGTAAAATATACATTTCGTAATATGCTAATATGTAAATAAATACAACAGTGCGAGAAGAAATGCAAAAAAACGTTTCAAATGACAAAAACATTGTGCATATAACTACCTGCGTGGTGAATTCTAAGAATCAAGTGTGCTCGTTGCTGGCTTTGTTCTACCTTATACGCATAAAGTGCGTTCAAATTGGGATTTAATCAAGTTGTGATTTAATCGAAGTATGTAACATTTAGCATAAGTTATCTCTAACCCCATACATATTATCACCAATAACTATATTAATCTAAGTAAGTGTTTCTATAAATGCAAAAATATTTAATGCAAGATGAGTTACAGAGAAAAAAATTTATATGTAATTCTAGTTTATTTGAAGTGTGAAATATGACCCCAAGAATTTATAATAAGATCACATCTTTCGGTTTGAATAAGAAACATCAGCTAGTCGAGTAGTTAAAGCAAGCGCTTCTTACTTATTTGCTGTAGGTTCAATTAGGGCCCACACGTATTTGCATACTTTTCTGCATATTTAAAGATATTTAAGCTGAAGAGAAAAAACTGAAGAAATGCAATAAATGCAACAATTTTTAACTGCATGCGCTGCCAATTCATAGTGTTTGACAGGCAATAAATAGTCCATCACAGCTGGTACCCTGTTTTTCTTTAAAGTTAGCATCCAGTGTTGGTCATCGAGTTTTCTGTATCTAAGTGTGCCTCGCGCCATGTGGCGAGTGGGGCAGTAAGAGAGCATTCGAACGAACATAAATTGATGCACGAGCAAGTGGAAACAATGCAACAATGTCAGTTAAATTCGAGGGCACAGCTGTTAGCTGACTGGCTGGGATCGTAATTAAGGCCAAGTTGGGTTAACGAAGAGAAATGTTGTAGCCATGGCAACAAACAAGAAACAACTGCGACTGTGTCAGCTGCAGACATTTTTCTGTTTTGCACACTTAACTTTTATTTGAACTTGCATAGATATGTGTACAAAAGGCAACTGTAAAATGGAGTGAGGATGGTTGGCAAGGTATGGGCCAAAGTGGAACGAGGCACAACTCGCAGACTACAGTCAAGTGACTGCCATTTGGGCCACGCTTTTGGTTACCTTTGTAAAAGTTTTTTGTCAGGGCAAACTGCCAAATTGGCCTAATGGCGTTAATGCGAATACGAGCCCTGACTAAACCAGCAGCATCAGCATCACTACCAGCAGCCAGCTGACATCAAAGGTCATTACACAGGCCATCAGCGAATGCAGTTGCCAAGCCATTTTTCAGAAAATTCTGAGCGGTTTTATTAGACCGAAACTCATAGAAACTCAAAATGCAAATGCAAGCACTTACAAATTTTTCCAATTTGCCTAAGGTGAACAATCAAAATGCGTTCAATGCTTAATCTGCCATAGAAAATATAGAAAAACAATCGTTAGTATTTTCAATACTTGCTATCCCAGTAATTGTTCGTGCTGCACGTTAACTAACATCCCTAGCAGCTTTACGTACGTTTACCAACACTGTTCGTATACTGTTAGCACGCAGCTAAAGCGCTTAGGTCATGGCTCCGTTTTCCATCTGCTCCAAGTGCAAGGCTCGAACCCGTAAGGTTGTCAAAGATCCAATAACTTTGAAGGATATTTACCTATGCCCCGTAAGCTTTTTTTACTCCTAACCAAATATTTAAATAAATATATGTATATATACTATCAGAAATGCTGCAAGGCGAAAAATGAAACGCAAAATATTGAGAATGAACAGGACAGCAAAGAGCCGCGAAAAACGCAACTGGAACTGCCAGCGCTTGAACTGAAAAAGCTGCCACTTGCTGCCGTCGTCGGTGCTACCAGCCACAGCTCCAGTCGAAAGTGTACACCGCCCATAATGCAGACTGTGATTATAAATGGACGCAAATATATTGCCATCAGTGCAACAGCCTCGGACAATTAGACAATGTACACTATGCAGAAAAAAAATTAAATAAATAACAAAACACGTGATGACAAACAAACACTATGACTTCCAGTGTTGGTTCGCGTACTCTCGGCAAGAGGCTGGTATGCTGATCACGAATAGAACGTGCAAGCAAAAGTGTTGACAGCCAAACTCGATGCATGTTTGTCTCGATTTTATGGAATATGTTTCAAAATAGTTTAAAATAAAATGCATAAAAAAAACGTGCTCAAAATGTGGCACGTACAAATCTTTTAACATTTTTTGATTACTTACTAGCTTTTTGTTGAAGTATGTTAACAAACCGTTCATAAATTAGAACCATTAAAAAATAACCCAACATTTTAATTAAACCTTTCTGTGTGCCAAACTAAACAATTTGCATAAATTAATTAAAACACATTGCGTGACGCATAGTTCAACAACAACAACACGCAACAATGACTAAACCCGAACAACAAAAATAGGAAACGCAACAACAAAAGAGTCAATGTATGTGCACAAAAATTTGGGTATAAAATTGCCAGCATGCAGCGAAATGTTTATTTTTAAATTTGTTGCCGTTGCATTTTGCTACATCTGTGGTAGTTGTTGTCGTTGTTGTTTGTTTTGGCGAAGGATATGCGTGCTAGTGCGGTATTTATTTACGTCACATTTCCGTTTCCGTTTTAGGCTGCAGTTGCACCTCGCACAGAGCCCAACCCGCAACCGGCTAACTCGATCTGTCCCACTTTAGACGGGTGCGTGATTTTCTAACATTTTCCAAGCCCATCAAAGTTTTAATAGAATTTCCATAATCAGATTTAAAGCTATTGAACCATTGTGGAACGCTAGAGTTTAATATGCCTACCTTCATATGAAGGGCTGGAATTTGAATTTGATTTATTTTGCGTATAACATCGGTTTCAGTTTTTAGTTCAACATTTAACTTAGTGTTTTCTATTAACCCAGGCTTAAAACTCGTTCGAAACTTTTAGCAAAGTCATTTATAGAGACAACTTGACGACTTGGTCTTGAGAATGTTTTCAAGTCCTTCAAAGTTGATATGTCAGAGCCACATATGGTATACAACACATTTACATGCATGCACGTGCATATTTACATGAATTGTCAAAATCAAATTCAAAATCAATGTTAAGACCTTGTAACCTTCGCCGGGGCTTTACAGTCAACTTTATTTGGGGTTTGCGATACGCCATTTTCGATTTTCGACGATCCGCAAAGTTGAACGCCTGAAAGTATGCAACGAATACTGTTAGACTGCACCTGCCAGCTCCGAAACAAAAAAACTCAGGCCAATCAACCAACCTGCATGCAAGGTCTTTAGCTGGATGCCTAGCGACAATTAAGGTCGTAACGCCCCACCCAGTAATAGGTATTGGTTGAACTTCTGGGTGGTTCCGCCCCAGCTGTTAGCCGTTGTCATTGTCATTGTTTTCCATGTTTTGACTGCTTTATTAAGTTCCATGCACGCGATGCCAATGGAAATTTAGGCCCAAATCGAACTGACCAGCACTCATTAAAGGCAGTCACTTTCACAACAGATTTTCAACTAAATACAACTCACGTGTCAAGTTTATAAACCATTTGCCATAATTGAAGTGCTTCACGCGATTCAGTCTGTGCGCTAGCTCCCCCAACGGTCAATGCTGTATTCCTGTCCCAGGCCCGCCCCCTATGTTCTTGCCAGTTCCAGCCCCTGTCCCAATGGCAGCTGCTCAAACACCCATTGCCCATTTGGCGACTGCAGATTGCATGCTCATTAGAGGCAACGCCAGCATTGTTTTATTTTTTGTTGATAATACCCAGAAGCAGAGAAGAGTATCACATATTTCTAATGGATCCAGTATGATACAGGTAAGCGAGTGTTTCGATTGAAGGACACGAGCTTAAGAGATTTAGCAGCATTTTTTATATTTATTTATTCTGCCATTAAATGAAATCTTTACAGAAATATCTTTTGAAATTTGTATTGTTGATACAAGTAAGAGCATAGCAGATTCGTTGTTTTCCTTTTGAGCTGTTATTGTGTTTATTTGAGTCGACGCTTTGTTCTTGTATTCATTCAGTGGCAATTGCGCTGCTCCTTCGTCGTTGTCCCATGAATGATAATGACGAACGCATCCCTTTGGCACGCCTCACATAGCCGGAGCAGCAAATAGCCGGATGAGTGGCAACACTACGGCCAGTGGCCATATGTTCTGTGCAGCTCCCGCACAAGCCCACACGAACTGCTGCCGGGTGACCTCAATAATAATATCGTCTAATTGCTTCGTAATTATGCCGCGCACATGGTTTTCTCGATTTGCCCGCAGTTCGTTGTTGTTAATTCACTTTCACTTTCTCTGCTCCTTTGAGAGTTCTATTCTCTTTCTCTACCTCACACACACAGACAGAGGCACACACACAGAGACAGAGACACAAAGGCAGCGCGCGTGCGGGCGTGCTTGCGGACTGACCAGGCAGGCCCATTGTCCGCCCAACTGGTCCGCCATTTTGGTATATTATTATTTGTCTCTTTTGTTTTGCGCAATTTTTCGTCATTTGCTTCATTTTCTGTCATTAGAAGCATTTAACTTTTTGCTTTTTGCCGATTTGTTTCCATTATTTATGTGCCTGCCATTCGCCATTTGGGCCAACCACAAAATTGGCCATGTGGCTAAGAGAAAGGAACAAAAAACTCTAGTGATTATGGTAAGGGTATTTATGAAGTGTACTAGCCTAAAAGCCAGAAGGCTTACGGGTAATGCTTTGTGTTATTTTCCTAGTTTTTTTTTTTTTTTGTTGTTGTTGAAGCAACACCTAACAAACGACTTATAAGACATGGAAATTATAGCTGCTACTTAAAACAGCTTGAAAGCATTTGCTAAGCATTTCGATAAATCGATCGATTAATATATGTTTATTGCCAGTGTTGACAAATACATTGCATGCGGCGGCTTAACCACAGGCAAGTTAACTGACAGTTACAAACTTTGAGGTTATCTGATCGCTAGTGTAAAACGTTGAACTAAAGTCAGTACAATTAAGGCTAAAATAAATATGAATATAATACTGTAAACAGGGAAAACATTAGTATAAATGTAAATAAATATCTATAAGCTCCAATTAAAACGTAAATCTACTGCTAAGGCCGTGATAATTTGTAGACATGTCTATACATATGAATGTCTGACGATCCACACACAATCCACAAGAGTAAGGAATCCGAAATTTTTACGGAAATTATCTGAAATTGCATTTCTCAAGTTTCACCCTACTTGGATGGGAGGTCAAAGCTTATATTAACGAAACTTTATTTTTGACTTCAAGCTTTGCACTAAGGGACTAATGTTGACCTCAACTTTTGGCTCTTAATTTGATGGGGTCTCCTTTTTAGATATCTATGCTAAATATAACTTTAGATTGTACGAATAAATTTAAAGTTTTAACGTGCAGAAAACCGTCCATAAAGTGGTATTTAAAATGTGAAGCAAAAAAACTTTTAGCGAGCAAGGCTTGGTGTATGTATGTGCACAGATATCTCAAGCTTCGCAATTTATCCGTCACTACAGATTTCTAAAAACTTGCGTTATTTCTAGCTAAAGTGTAACTAAAAAGCGTATCAATGTATGTCAATGGGTTGTTGCTTTCAATTGAAGAAGCTACTGCCTGCCGGGCGACCTCAGCACGCGTCACACACATGCAGACAGATAGAGAAAGAAAGAGAGAGAGAGAGAATGTGTGCAAAGGAGACAGAGACAAACTGATGTATCGCGCACATTTTTAATGTCAACTAAATACGAATGTCATTTGGATTTGCGGATGGCGACTGCCCACCCACAAAAACACATGCCCATCGTCGATGCTGGCTAAATTGCATACAAGTGTAGGCGAGATGGGCGTGGTCGTGTCATCAACGTGTCACAACGTGGCACAAGTTTGTCTAATACGCAAACTTTTAATTGAGTTTAAATTTGTATGAGTGGAGCAAATGAAGAAAGGGGGAGGCGCCTACTACTTCTCCTCGCCCTCGCCCTCGTCCTCGTCCTCCTGCCTGCCACCATGCGTACAGCGACCACATTTATGCGGCAGCATGTTATGAAGAATGAATGAATTTAAGTGCCCAAATGCCAATGTGTGTGTGAGTGTGTGTGAGTACGCAATTTTTGAAGTGTGTCGGTTTCAATCCTGGCAAATTGCCCATGAAATATTAAATTTACCATAATGAGACGCCATTTTTATACCTCGTAATTTGCCAAACTTTATGTGCGTATTTGTACGGTATATGTGTGATATTGTGCTTATTAACGCCTCTCCCACACCCACACTCTCCCAGTAACCCGCGAAAAGTGCAAAATAATGTGAGAGAGATTATATTCATGTACATATGTAAGAAGGGGCATGCTTCATATATGTACATATTCAGGTTCGAATCTGGCTAACTTACCTTTCGCTTGGCACCATGAAATTATATGCTTTTTATGGCCATGGCAGCTCGTCTTATGGTGTTAGTGCAACAACTTAATACATTGTATACTGTGTGCACTAAATTATGAAAAAAGGGATCAAATTTTGCGTGTAACACAAGCACGTATATGAAAACAAAAACTGCGCTTATTTTGATCAAAATTTAGTGCACGTCATAAGAATATGCGTATGCGTTTATAAGGCAGCGATTTGGTAACTTTAAGCAAACATTAAGTTTGCTGTGTCTGAGTTACTCCAGACCTAATTCATTAAGATATTTTATTGGCTTAAAGTTTAAGTTGAAGCAACTTAATAATATTCTAAATGTATTCATCTTAATTACAATGTGTTGTTACTGGGTCACCTTTATATCAAATTGTGTTCATCTAAGCATCTGCTCCAATGACCTAGTTAGCCAAACATTGTTTTATAACAACTCAGTTCAAGTACATACGCTCCTTTGTGAGCATAAGCACGCGTGTTTTGGTTATTCGAGATATGAAGATATGAAATACATATAAACTATAGGTATTGAACTTTAGTCGCACACATGTATGTTCCTTTAGTATTCCTTTTCAAAAGCAGTTCAATTTGTAAATAGCTCAAGTAAGCAACGAAAATGTGACATATTGAGGGCAACGAAACACCTTTCGGTTATGTGGCCATGCTGATGTCCATTAATTTCCAGCTTGAAATGAAAAATGACTCAATTTGCAATCGCTTGCTCTTTTACCTGGCCCCTTTACCACGTTTTGCACCTCGGGCTTACTGGCCTTTAGATTTTAATAAGAAATAATTCCCCGTCTCGGATAGTTACTGGAGGTGACTTTGCTTATAAAATGTCTTGCAATTCCGCATCGACAAATGACTTTCGGCTTCATGGCACGTACACTGGCCAGCAACACCAACAGGGCAAACAAGGCACCATTGAGAAATGCGCTTTCCAGCGGGCGCCTCTGAAAAAAAATATATAATAATGAATCCCAACAAAAACAACAGCAAATGCCTTAAATAAACAAAACTACATTGGAAGCAAAACTGCACGATGCGCGTTTAATGTCATTTAAAGCTGCAATTACTCAGCACGCTCTCTTGTACTGTCCGCGAAAGCACGGCACGGAACGAAACTATGGAGTTCCAGTTGCAGTCACAAGCCCGCTGCCAAACTCCACTCGACTCTGACTTCGCTTTAATGTCATTGTATGACCGCAATTATTCTGCATGTGACCGACCGACCGACCGGCCCATTGTCGGTGCATGCGATTCCTATGCAAATACGGGGTAGCGCTGGCAAGGCGACTCCTTCCGGTGCAATAAATCGTACGTCTCGGGCGAGCCGTATACTCTATAATTAAGTAAAAGGCGCAGAAAATTAGAGAGAGTGTCCCCATCACGTACGAGCACTTAGAATCACGTACAAACGAGTATTTTATACTGGAATATCCCAACAAGTTTATTAGTCGTATATGGACAAGTAAAGCATGACCATACAGTAGCCATATGTATAATTATTCAATTACAATTTGTTAAGTCTAAGGGGGCACATATCATGAATTTATTTACTAACAAAAAATATTTCTTAAATATGCATGCAAAAGAGTAGAGCGGGCTCAACCGGGATTTGAACCCGGGACCTCTCGCACCCAAAGCGAGAATCATACCCCTAGACCATTGAGCCATCTGGTGTTCAGATTTACAAATAACGTACATATGCTGCGAACTGTAACGTGGCGCTTGCCCAAAGTAATATAGCTCACAGCTTTGGTAAGTAAACATACACAAAACAGTCGCAAGAACATCGGTATTCTTAACTCTAGCGTTAGAGATTGTTAAATTATTGCATGCATGCCATTTTATACTTTGCAATGCTATGCATATTCCTAAGGCTATTTAAATAAATATATACAGTACAATATAGCCATTGTAAACTGTGGCGTATAAACTATCGACTTAGATTTATTCGATTAATTCATTCATCTGTTCGATATATGACTATCGCAATACTTCCGCGATATATATCAAGTGAGTGATATTTCTCCCGCCAAAAGTGCACGCCAATTTCACATAGCAGTCTCTGCAAAACAACCGAAGCACAACAGACTCCAAGCGCATTGAAATAGGAATTAGCAGCAATTTAATTATAAACAGAAATCGTACACACTAAACATGGTAAGTTGTCTTGGTGCTCATATAGTTGTAATGCTATTAACGCCATCGTGTAGGATAATCCCAGCTCACCGCCGCCAAATACGCCCAGCGATGCCAGCGAGCGTCGCGATTTGCGCGCAGCGATGACATCGCCTGTGGGCGACTTTGAGCCTTTTGAGAATGAGGACGAGATCCTTGGCGATCAGACAGTGCGCGACGAGGAAGATGAAGACGGCGAGGAGCTGTTTGGCGACAACATGGAGAACGGTAAGAGTCCGCTAATAGCAGAGTCAGTTGAAATTCTTAATGTTGAAATATAATTAGACTACCGCGAAATGCCTGAGCTGGATCACTATGATCCTGCCATGCTGGACGACGAGGAGGACTTCTCAGAGATGTCGCAGGGCGAGCGCTTTGCAGCCGAGTCGGAAATGCGTCGACGCGATCGTGCGGCAGGCATTCATCGCGACGATCGCGACCTGGGCTTTGGTCAGTCCGACGACGAGGATGATGTGGGCCCTCGTGCCAAGCGACGTGCCGGCGAGAAGGCAGCTGTGGGCGAAGTAGAAGACACGGAAATGATCGAGTCCATTGAAAACTTGGAGGATACCAAGGGCCACTCGACCAAAGAATGGGTGAGCATGCTTGGTCCGCGTACCGAGATTGCGAATCGCTTCCAATCTTTTCTGCGCACCTTTGTGGATGAACGTGGCGCATATACCTATCGTGATCGCATTCGTCGCATGTGCGAGCAGAACAAATCCTCATTTGTGGTGTCCTACACGGATTTGGCCAACAAGGAGCATGTGTTGGCATACTTTCTGCCCGAGGCGCCATTCCAGATGCTTGAAATATTCGATAAAGTGGCCAAGGACATGGTGCTGTCCATTTTTCCCACGTACGAACGCGTCACCACGGAAATTCATGTCCGCATATCGGAGCTGCCGCTGATCGAGGAGCTGCGCACCTTCCGTAAGCTGCATCTCAATCAGCTGGTACGTACCCTGGGCGTGGTGACGGCCACAACGGGCGTGCTACCGCAACTCTCGGTAATTAAGTACGATTGTGTCAAGTGCGGCTACGTTTTGGGTCCGTTTGTACAGTCTCAGAACACGGAAGTAAAGCCTGGCTCGTGCCCGGAGTGCCAGAGCACAGGACCCTTTTCCATCAACATGGAGCAGACTTTGTATCGCAACTATCAGAAAATTACGCTACAGGAATCCCCGGGACGCATACCTGCCGGTCGCATACCGCGCAGCAAGGACGTCATTTTGCTCGCCGATCTGTGCGATCAATGCAAGCCCGGCGATGAACTGGAGGTCACTGGCATCTATACAAACAACTATGACGGCTCGCTTAATACGGATCAAGGTTTCCCCGTATTTGCTACAGTCATTATAGCCAACCACGTGGTGGTCAAGGACTCCAAGCAGGTGGTACAATCGCTGACTGACGAGGACATTGCCACCATACAAAAGCTGAGCAAAGATCCACGCATTGCCGAGCGTATTGTGGCATCCATGGCGCCATCTATTTATGGTCATGACTATATCAAACGAGCTCTCTCGCTGGCTCTATTCGGCGGCGAGTCCAAGAATCCAGGTGACAAGCACAAGGTGCGTGGCGACATCAATATGCTCATCTGCGGCGATCCGGGCACGGCAAAGTCCCAGTTCTTAAAGTACACGGAGAAGATTGCACCACGTGCCGTGTTTACCACCGGTCAAGGTGCTAGTGCTGTGGGTTTGACCGCGTATGTGCGTCGCAATCCCGTGTCCAAGGAGTGGACGCTTGAGGCTGGCGCACTAGTGCTGGCCGATCAGGGCGTCTGCCTGATCGACGAGTTTGACAAGATGAACGATCAGGACCGCACATCCATTCACGAGGCCATGGAGCAACAGACCATTTCCATATCCAAGGCAGGCATTGTCACCTCACTGCAGGCGCGTTGCACGGTCATAGCTGCTTCCAATCCTATTGGGGGTCGCTATGATCCCTCGATGACCTTCTCGGAAAATGTGAATCTCTCGGAACCAATTCTATCGCGTTTCGATATACTGTGCGTGGTCAAGGATGAGTTTGATCCAATGCAGGACCAGCAGCTGGCCAAGTTTGTGGTGCATTCACACATGAAGCATCATCCCAGCGAAGAGGAACAACCGGAACTGGAGGAGCCGCAACATAAGTCTGTGGAGGAGATACCACAAGACTTGCTACGTCAATACATTGTGTATGCCAAGGAGAATATACGACCAAAGCTAACTGTTAGTAACTCCAAACTCCAAAACTTCCTCGGACTACAATTGCTCATTCATTTTCTTGATTTTCATAGAACATTGATGAGGACAAGATTGCCAAGATGTACGCACAGCTGCGTCAGGAGTCCTTTGCGACTGGTTCGCTACCTATAACGGTACGTCACATCGAGAGCGTCATCCGCATGGCCGAGGCGCATGCTCGTCTGCATCTGCGTGAGAATGTCTTGGAGGCGGATGTTAGCATGGCTATACGCATGATGCTCGAGAGTTTCATTGAGACGCAAAAGTTCAGCGTGATGAAGAAGATGCGCAGCACATTCCAAAAGTATTTGGCGTTCCAGAAGGATCACTCTGAACTGCTGTTTTTCATATTGCGCCAACTGACACTCGATCAGCTGGCCTACATACGCTGCAAGGATGGTCCCAGCGCCACGCATGTGGAGATCATGGAGCGCGACTTGATAGAACGCGCCAAGCAGCTGGATATCAGCAATCTAAAGCCATTCTACGATTCTGAACTGTTTCGTAGCAATGGGTTCTCATATGATCCCAAGCGACGCACCATTTTGCAGATTGTGGTCGATGGCGCTGCCTAAATTACCAAGAGTTTACCTGAACATATTCACGATTTTTATCTCATTTAATCTTAGTATCACCTTACACGGTTTGTTTCCCATTTTATGTATGTCCAATAAAGATTTGGTTATGTATCTAACATTTTTATAGTTAAGTAATAAGATTGTGTTTAGGTTTTTTTAATCAAGTTTTATATTTATCAAAACTGCAAGGGTCTACTACCAAAGGCATTTGGCTCGAACACTTTGTACGTTTCTTATTGCGATTTCTTCTAAGAACACATCTTCTAGCTCGTCTTTGAATTCATCGGGAAAATCCGGATCGTTTATCATATCATCGTAGGCCAGTTCATAATCGTGTGAGGTAAAGTCTTCAAGGTCTGACACAGAATCTTCAACATCACCATTCAAATCACCACACGCAATAAATGGCACCAGGCGTTGATTGACCTTGGAGCCAGTTTTTCGTGCGAGTGTTCTAATATCGTCCCGTGCCGGGTTGATAATTTGCGGGATGTAGCCAAGGGGCAAACGAAAACCGGTGCACACGACGAAAGCTTCAATGCTCGATGGACGGGAACTGGGCGGCTTATAGATGTGAAAATTCTCAAAGAACGTGAGCATTTGCGATTCGAGAAGGCTGTTGGCATTGCCCTTAAATATTTTGGCCACAAATGTACCGCCTGTTTCCAGCACAAATGTGGCAATACTCAGCGCCGAGACAATCAGCTGATTCTGCATATACTCATCCATTTCATGGACGCCAGTTACATCCGGCGCACCATCGCACACGACCAGCTGGGCCTTTTGGTCAGCGTCGTTGCCAAAGTGCGCAATGATAGCCTCTGCGGTGCTCTCCTTGGTAATGTCGCCTTGTAGCTGTATGACACCCCGAATGGGCGCCATCGCTTGCAGATCTACTGCAATGATTTTCACTTCCGATTTCTCATCATCCGTTAGGCAGGAGTCGAAGAGCTTGCGCGAGAGCACCTGGGACCAGCTGCCGGGCGCAGCGCAGAGATCTACAGCGCGTCGCACATCTGGAAAGGAGTTAGGCTGAGCATTAATATGTGGCGTGTAAATAATAAGTAGCTAACCATTCAAAATGCCGAATTGTTCGTTGATGTGCATCAGTTTGAAAGCACTTCGCGCCCGCCAGCCCTCCTCTTTGGCTTGGCGATAATAAATATCACGTTTATCCTTTGATGTTTTTCCCATGGTGCTCCGGCTTTTCAGAATCTTCTGATTTTGTTTCTTATGCTAGTATATTGGGTAAATTTTAAATAGTTCGATGTAAATAAACTTCGCGAGGCTGCGCTTCCTTCACATGTATAATCGATAGACACATGTGGTGTATATATATATATATATGAAAGTAACTGTGAATACCAGACAAGAAGTAGCAGTGACAGTGACAATTATGATGTTTCTGTGCAAAAATCTAGAAAAATTGTATAACTTAATCAAAACGAACTTACACGGCAGGCCCTGCACGTAGTTTCTTAATCACATTTTGAGATTTTTAGACATTTCAGTCTCTTATAGACGAGAACTCAAAATTGTGAGAGCGCCCATCTCTGGCAATAATAATCGATTGACAATTGAAACTATCGATAGTTATGAAGGTAGTGAAAATCATATGGGCCGCAGTTTAATGACTTGTTAAAGATAGACAGAAGTAAGTAATTGAAGGCTACATCCCTTAAAAAGTTGAAAAAAACACATCGCTCTTTCAGGCAAAAAGCATAAAATACTGCCAAAAATGTTTCCAAAAATGAGCTATTTGATAATCGTTTTGCTCAGCTTGTTGGCCAGTGGAAGAAGCTTCTTGGAGCATGATAGCTGGATAACGATTGATTTGCACCATTCCCTGTCGGCATCCAGGCCGGAGCACTTTTCACATCGGGGCAATATCTCCATACCAAGTCTGAACTCGGGCCTGTCGACCGTGGTGCAAAATCCATTAACGGATAGTGAACTAGAAAGCGTTAAGATCCTGGCCAAAGAAAATGGTTTCTATCGCTTAAGGGCAACGGTCATTTATCCCAATGGCAGTAGCCAGCGTTTTTTGACATCCAGCAAAGCTTGCAGCCTGCTGTTGGCTCAATTCAATGATGTGCTCTGGATATCCCTCGATCCCAACGGCTACGTAACGGGTATCACTGCTGCGCAGGATCCGGCACCCCAGAACACCGAATGTTCAGCCGAAGATGTGCAGCAAATCAATGAGAAAAATTTCAGCTCTGATGTTATAATTCGACATGCTGAACTGGCACCGGTGCCCGACACTGGCAGCTTTATACAGAAATTCGAACGTGAGCGTGAGGCCAGGGAGCGCGGCGAGGTGCGTGATAATAGAGGCTTCTTTGCCAAATACTGGATGTACATTGTGCCTGTTGTTCTATTGGTCTTCATTTCTGGTGCAACAAATCAGGATGCGGACAAATAAGCATTTATATGTAAATTAGTAAAAGTCTTAGATTTTCGTTTAATTGGAAATAAAGAAAAACACAAAAGTTTTCTACTCAATTCGAACAGTATTGAGATTCCGTGTTAAACGCCAATTATTGTGTTTTTTAAATCTCTATAAGACTCTTACGAATTGTTATACGTATGGAAGAAGGTATCTGCGACCCCACGTTCTGTATATATATGGTCTAATCAGGACGACGAGCAGACTCTGTCAGGGCTAAATCGGTTTAATATATCATACCTCCCATAGAAACAAAACAATATAAACAAATACAAAGGGTATTTAATCTTCGGCAACTGATCTCTATGGACAACAGATCTTAGATATTATTTATTATCAACATGTTTGTAAGCCTTAAGCATTAATTACACTTCTCAGTCATCGTCAACATCAATGCCCATGGCCTTGTCAAAGTCCTCATCGGTGATCTTTTTCTTTTTGAGTCGCTTGAAGAGCCGTATATCGCTGGCCAGCTCATCCAGTTCTTCCTGCGTGTATTGCTGTTTCCGCTTGCGCTGTGACCCGCCTTCGCCTGCTTCCGCTTTCCGCTTGCGCTCCTTTTTGGCCTTGCGCAGCTCCTTCTTTGACTTGGCATCCAGCTTGGCTTTCTTGGTTTGATCCCATGACTCGGTGCGTTTCATGTGCTGCTTCTGGCGACCTGGCCAACTGCCTGTCTGTTCGTACGTTTGCAACTTTTGCTTGCGCACCTGCTCCTTCTGCGCGTTCTTGTAGGTCAGCTTGGTGAGGTCGACTTCAAAGCTGGGTGCCATGAAGCCATCGCCTTGGTAGCTTTTCAGTTCCGGCATGCGAGGCAGCTGAAGCAGTCCATAGGCAGTGGCCATTTTGCCCAGATCCAGGTCCTTCAGGCGCAATATGGCACTGCACTCGTGCTTGGTGTAGGCACGCACGTGGGAGACAAAGGCTCGCATGCCCTTATCGTAGGCGCCTTTGTCAGCTTCCTGCAGTCGATGGAGTTGCTCCACTAACGGCTTTAACTCCGTTTCCTGTGGCGCAACACATTCTTCTTGGAGCTCGCTCAGATCGACCTTTTGATTCAGTTTAAGGAACTGAATGTATGCATCCTCGGTTGGCAGCAAAAATACCAAAGCATTTCCCTCGTTGCCCTGCCGAGCGGTGCGTCCAACACGGTGCACAAAACTGGAGGCATTGGACGGCGGATCCCACTGCACCACCCAATCAATTTCGGGCACATCCAGACCACGCGCCAACACATCTGTGCACAGCAGCACCGCTTGTGACTCGCTGCGGAAACGCTCCACTACGCTGGCACGTTTGTTCTTCATCTTCCCGTGAATACCTAGCACACTGCGCTCTGGCAGCAACGGCGGCAGCATCTCCGCCCAGTACTCAACGCAGGCGCATGTGGGAAAGAAGACCATTACTTTGCCGAAGCTGGAGGTGGGCGAGCGTAGAAATTGCAACAAGGCCAGAAACTTTTGCTCTGGTTGCACAATTTTATAGAAATTTTGAAGCCGCGCCGGAGTGTTGACCGAGGCCTTCTCCTTCACAGAGACTAACACTGGATTACGCAGGCCAGCACGTATTAAATCTGTTACTTCGGTGGTCTGTGTGGCCGAGAAGAGACCTGTGCGTCGCTGCCGCGGCAGATAGCCCAATATGTTATTTACGCTTGTCTTGAAGCCCAAATCCAGCAGACGGTCTGCTTCGTCGAGCACCAGGAACTCCAGACTTTTGACACGTGCTGCCAAATTTAAATCATCGCCTTTACGTTGAAACAAATCCTCAAGGCGACCGGGCGTGCACACCAGTATGCAAGGCGTCTGTTGCTTCAATGCGGCAATGTCCTCCTCAATGCTATTGCCGCCAACGATTAGCTGCTGATTCAAGTGCTCCAGCTCATCGTGAGCCAGAAACTGCGCCAACACCTCTGAGATTTGGCGTGCCAGCTCACGTGTGGGCGAAATTATGAGTGCACCGATTTCCTTTGCGCCCCAGGGCGTCTCCTTGTGTCGACGCTGCAGAATCTCCAGCAGAGGCACAAGAAATGCCAACGTTTTGCCACTGCCTGTAACAGCCTCGGCGGAGACATCTTTGCGTGCCAGCAGCAGTGGAATTGCTGCTGTTTGCACAGGTGTCATTAGCTCAAAGCCAAACTCCTGTAGAACCTCCAGCACTGGCTCGGAAAGCGGCGGTTTGTCCAGAGAGCTCCATGTTTTTCGTGACATCGTTGTAAACAAACACACGTGCAGCGAAGTTGCCACCTGACTCAGAACATTCACAGCTACTGTGAACTGTTATCGAAAGTTATCGGACAAGGGGCAACAGCTGATGCAAACTCAAATTTGCGTTTTCCGTTAAAATTCAAATAAAATCTTTGTATATTTACATATACTGTGTCAAACTTTGTAATGTACTTATGGGTACATCTGCCTTGGAAAACAAAAAGAAAAAACAAAATATTTCGAGCATTGAATGTTTAATTTAAAATACTGTAAAATATACGCAGTTATATTTAAATACATATTTTAATAGAATTTCATTAAACACTAAATACAACTTGCCGTTTCCTTTTTAAATCGTATTACACATTTACTTAACTAATTGAAAAAATACGCATGTATATGGAATACATATAGATGAACGCGTACAGCTGGCGCTCAATTGGCGATTAAAACGCAATCCGTATGCTATTGAAATGTATATAGTTGAAGAAAAAAACTGTTCACATTTATAATTTATGTTTTATCTTTTTTTAAGCATAAATTTTTGGACGTGGTTTTTATCAAAAGTTTTGGAAAAATATTTATGGAATTTTGTATCGACTGCTAATTTTGACCCGTCGTCCAGGACCAATGATCAAACGGCGAACTTGTTTGTTAGTCTGCATTTGTTTCTATCGTTTCGTCACGTGCACAATTAATGAATGTCTATAGCTGATTGTGTTTAAATGCCTGCTCCATTCGGCTTAGCACCAAGGCTCTTGTAGGGCCTGCCCCCGTTGCGCTCCCATTCGCGATTGAATTCATGGTCAAGTATTTCGGCACCGCGCTTGCGCGTCAGGCCCGTCTCCTCCAGGCTCAGCTCACACATTTGCATGTCGTCTGTGCCGGCAACCAGCAAAATGGGCGGCTTATCCGCATGCAGCTCCATTTGCCGTGCAATCCACTGCCCATCAAAGTGTGCATACCACAAGCCACGTTTAGCTAAAGTAGAAGCCAATACGAGATTAAATAAAAACCCAGACGAGAGCATTCATGCACTTACTATTATCGGGCGCATTGGCTCGCATAAAGGGTATGCGGAAATAGCGATGCTGAGCCGACACAATTTCCTGTATGGGCTGCACAATGGGCGGCTGTTTAAAAGCTGCAATAAATATATAAGCATATATATTTCTTATACGTATTACGAGTTCATTAATATGCCGCACTAACCGGCCTCCATGACGCTTCGCGGTGCACGTTCATTCTCATCCATGGTAGTGCGCTTGCGATTCTTTGCCTTCCAGGCGTGATACACCTTCAAGCGGCGATGGAACTCCTGGCGACAGGCCTGCAATAATACCAGGGATTAGCAAATGATGTTAGCTTTAAAGAACCGAAATTACCTCAAGCAATTCAATATCACAGGACGTGTTGATGGCATCACGCAGTTCCGAGTACTTCCATTTGGACAGGTCGTACTTCTGTTTGCCAAGTGCTTGTTGCTGAGCGCGCACGTTCTCCGATCTAATGAATGCAACAGTATTAATAAATATATAATAGTCCCTTTATATACGAAAAGCATTCGAAATGCTTACGAAAAGTGAGTTATTGATGGGTTTTTATGCTTATTACGTTTACAAAAGGGTTTTTAAAAATGGTTAAATAATTCTACAACTAATGGCCAATTTATTTATACAGTATTACAGATCTATTAGTGTGAATGATAGTCGCATACTTTACATAGAGGTGTTAGTAATTTGTTAAATATAAAAAGTTTTCAAAACCAGCACCAACTCACTTATTTAAATATCGCGAAGCAATGTTTGACACAACTTGTGAAAAACTTGTTCATCAAATACATTATATAGAAAAGTAAAGTAGAAGTAAAGAAAATTTTTTTCGTTTTTTTTTTTAAAATTTAGAATCCAATTAGTTTGTGTAAAAGCGTTTTCAGAAAGCAAGAGAACATAATTTTTATTTTATAAAACAAAGAACATAATTCATAAAGCGTGCTATACCTGATCAGTTTGTTGGAACCCACGGGAGACGCGTCACTGAGACCACCACTGTGTTTTGTTGGTTGTTTTTGTTTGGTTTGTGTAGGGGTGTGGTTTGTGTGGAAGAGAAGGCGTGTAGGGGATGGGAAAAAGTTGGTGAGTTTCTTATTCATCAATTATCAATACATATTTAATTATAATAACTATGCTAATTTAGCTAGTATGTACAAACGAAATACGGAACTAGCTTTGGTAATCAATATATCGGAGATATCCTACTTATATAAACAGACTCTTGTGGAACGCTAACTGGGCTTGCGAAAGTGACCTTACATACTTATGAATATTTTCTTACAATAAAAATAATTCGCTGTTCACCAGCACCGTATTTACAAGTAAATGCTGCAAGGGCCTAATCCTATTCCCTATACTAAAATTCTGCTCAATTTGTGCGTCTTTTGGTTGGGTAACATACTTGCGTATGACAGGTGGACTATCCTCCACCTGACCGTTGGATTCGCTGGCTAGGCGTAGAGCCAATTCGTGATCGCGTCGTTCCTGTTCGAGCTGCTGTCGATACTTGGCATCGTCCTTGGCTTCTTTTTCCATCTGTGCCTGCAGTACCAGGGCAGCGCGTCGATCCTCCTCCTCCTGACGCAGACGCTGTGCCTCGGCCGCCTTGCGTCTGGTCTCCATTTCGGCTTTGCTGTGTATTGAGACACTTGGTAAGTAAAATGCATTGGATAAAAAAGCTTAGAGCCAATACTAACAGTCGTTTGTTTTCAGCCTCGTCTCGCAGACGTTGTTCATCTGCCTCCTTGGCACGACGTTCCGCCTCCAGGGATTCTTGAATTTTGCGCAGGCGTTCCTGCTCCTCGGCCTGCTGTTGCTCCTTCAACTTGCCGTTCAAATCGACGGTCAGCTTATTCATATTGGCCATGACCACTGTGTACATGGAGTCGATTTCGCGTTGGGTGATACGAGGATTTTGCTGTGGGAAGCGGGAGATCAGTACACAAAAAGCCTAAGTAACTGGCATTGAAATGAACCTTTATCTTTTGAATGGCATCATCAATCTGCCTGTAAATATCGTTCACGCCGCCGACGATCTCGTCGCGTCCAAGCTTCAGACCGCTGGCTATTTCGATGGTCTTCAACGTATTGGTGCGTATCTTGTTGATCTTGGCAATGCCCTGGTAGCGTGGACGATGATGCTTCCGTGCCAAAAAGCCGCGGGCAATGCGCTGCGCGGTCAACACGCACTTGTTGCGATAGATGATGCGATTGCGTACTGAGATGGAGAAAATGTATAGAAGCGAAAATCAACAAGGGGAAAATCTCTATGAAAACTAAATAACTCACGTTTAATGACGCAAAGTGCGCCCAGCGTAGACTTGACCCAGCGCGAGCGGATCAGCCATTTCTTCACCTTGGCCACAATGGCCAGCATATTCTCCGGATCGGATCGCATAATCCGATCAAACTCCACAAATTTGCCTGGTCGAAAGAACACCTTGGTAATGCCAAACTTAAAGTCCTTTGCGCTCAAATTGAGCGATTGGAACATGGCCTCGCAGAAGGTGCGTGCCGGCAGTGAAACCAGCTCCGGCGGCAGCACGGACTTGTACATGCTGTAAAGATCGGCAAAGAGCACACGCGACGGAAATCCATGCTCCATAAGCTCGAGCACTGATATGGTACCGGAGCACTTGAGCTGTGCAAGCGCCAGGGAGCCCTCGAACTGGCGATCAACCATTTTGCTGTTGGGCTTGATGCAGCGTATGAAATTGGTACCCTGTGGTTGCAAATAAATAAATAAGCTGACAATTGGATTTGTAGTTCACCACTCACATTCTGCTCGAGTTTTTCCATTAGTTCGCCCAGCTGCGTCTTGAACTTGGAGCCAACGGATATGAAGTTTAGCTTGCCGCGCACAGAGGTGTTGCTGCCCGATGGGAAAAGCAGCTTGAGCAGCGGATTTTCGCACTCCTGCACCAGGCCCTCAAGCGAGGCGTGCAATGCATCGTTATTCTTCTCAATGAACTGTTCCGTGTTGTAGCAAACGGCGCCAGCGAAATGACGCACCAGAAAACCCTCCTCATCGCGCAGCGTGCGATGCGCTTTAAGGCGCGAGGAGCGCGGCAGTCCAAGGCGATAATGGTTCGCCCAAGACTTGTGCACCTCCGCGGTGAAGTGCGAGGGCGAGGACTTGGGCAGTTTGGACTCCTCGTCCAACAGTGTAAAAATGCCATTCGACTTGGCCTCGATCAGCTCAATGATGTCCTGATTGTCCGTGAAGGTGATCTCCGGCACATTGAGGCCCTCGCGCTTATACAGCTCCTGTTCATTCTTCAAAATGTTGTCGTTAAAGAACTTTTGCAGCTTCTCGTTGCAGTAGTTGATGCAAAATTGTTCAAACGAGTTGACCGTGAAATACTCAAAGCCGGCAATATCCAGGACACCAATGTAAAAGTTAGATGCCTGGAAGGGAATGCCCTGATTGATCAAAGCCACAATCCGATCGAAGAGGCGACTGTAAATGGCCTTGGCCAAGGCATCGCGTGCGTTGCTCGCCTCGTAGATCTTCAGAGGAACCCTAAAAATGAGACGTAAATGTTGAAAACCCAAATGAATTGGATGAACTGCAGCTAACTTACATGATTACCGTGCCCTTGAAGCCACCGCCCTTGCTCTGCATGACGCGCGACACCAGAGCCGTGCGCAGCTCAGTCTGATCTACGCCCAGCAGGCCGCTTGTAATAGACAGTGATTGCTCCGATGACTCCGACACCTGACAGCCTCCACGCACATCGTCGGGTATCTCCTCAAAGTTGATGTTGCCCAAATGCAGCACGGCAGCCACCAGCGTGTAAATGCCCATTTTGTCCTTGTCGGAGAGACCTAATCGGCCCAAGGCTTCGTCCAGATTTTGAAAGTGCTGGTAATCATCGATAATTGGATCCTTGAGCGGGCCCTTCTTTTGATGGCTCGTCGACTTTTGGGTGTCTGGTATGAGCTGTTCGGTCTTGGCATTGGCAAAGTACTGCGTGCAACCGGAAAGGTACTGCAAAGCAGAGCAATTAACATGAGAAGTGGACCTACAATTTGCTGTTCAAAGACATACGCGATAGTCATCCGGCTTGCCTAGGTTAAGCTTGTCCCGCAGCTGTTGTGGTGCGCCGGCTAGCAGCATGTAGAACACATGATAGTTACGCTCCTCAGCGCTCTGCGTGCAAATGCGACTCTTCTCTAGCAAATAGTGGGAGATATATCCACCCACCACCTGGCACTTGGCATCGTAGTGCACCTCAATGAACTTGCCAAAACGCGATGAGTTATTGTTGCGTGTGGTCTTGGCATTGCCAAAGGCTTCCAGCACGGGATTGGCTAATCAACAATAATAGCAGATGATTATTATACATATTTCTAAAGGAAGACTGGGCACATACCATCTAGTATTTTGGTCTCTATGGGACCGGCACTGTCGTGCGAGTAGCATAGATATTTGAGCAAATATTTGGTCGACTCCGTTTTGCCAGCACCCGATTCGCCGGAGACAATGATGGACTGCGACAGCTTGTAGACGCGCATGTCACGAATGGCCTTGTCCGCTGTTTGAAGGAGAGAATCAAGGCCTTAAGCTCTGAACATCTGCTCCCGGGATCAAAAGACTTACCAATGGCAAACACATGCGGTGGCAGCTCGCCCAAGGAGCGTCCATTGTACTTCTTGATGGTAGTGGGCCCATACAGCTCCTTGATCTCACGGTACGGATTGACGGCAATGAGTATGTTAGCCACATAGGTCTGCAAAAAGGAATTACTGATTTAGCAATATGTACAGGTTACTCATTTGGTCGGTTAACTCACGTAAATCTTGTCTTTGTAGTAACGTGTTTTAAGATTGTCCAGAAATGTGGCCTCGTTCAGCAGCATAAGCTCACCTGCAAATTGGAGTAAGTATTGTTATTATTCTTGTATTTTCTGTTGCAAGTTAACTTTCACCCCGTTGCGCGCCGTGGGTCGGGGGTTATGTTTAAGTGCTTTACCGCTCTCAACTGTTTCACGGAAGCGTAGCTAACGATCACAGCAAGATTTTAATGCCTTGTGTGCCAGAGCTACACTAAAGTTTTACGATCTTGCCCAGAAGTGGAGCATCAAACAACACGTGAGATTGCTCTAGCTGTAAGTTGAACAATTACCATGAACATACAACTATCTTAACTGATCAGTAAGCTCATGAGTTTAGATTTCTCCTAAAGACAGTTTGGTTTATCTGGTTCTGCTTGGTATAGTCAGAAAAGTGACTGTGCGCTTTCCATTCATTTCTTCAGATGAAGTGGATATATACATATACATATAAATATACTTATATCTATACGCACATCCCAGCTTGTAATTTGATCTATCTAGAAATTGTAGATGTTCTTCTGCCGTTTAAAATGGCTTAGATAAGATTTGGTTAGATTAATATCTGCCGGAAATAGCTGACAGATCTTTAACTTTTACCACAGCACCTGCATAATATATGCGTTTCGTGGCGCGATTCTCGTATAAAATATCCAATTTTTTTCTATACTTTATATAACCGCGTTCTATTCACAAACACAAGCAACACAATAGATAAAGGCCCGAAAGCTTAAATACAAACACACACGCGCACACCACAAATACTCGAGTATATGTTTGTATGTGTTTTTGGTAATCATATAGACTCTATTTAATAGAGTATTGTATTTGCAATACTTACAGTTATCATCGTGATCCTGTGGTCCATCACATGAGGAGTGTATGTCATCGTGGTGACACGTACGCTTGGGGAATTTGCGATCGATGGGCGTGACCTCAAACTCCTTGGCGCCGATTTCAGTGATGCGACCCTGAATATAACCATCCACGGGATCCCTAACCCAAACTAGCTGGGTGTCCTCCAACATTTTGCGCACTGCAATTGAATAAAACCGAGTTAAATCATTTAGTGTGTATTTAGTATTACCAACTAATTAGCTACGGATTTTCTATAATAATCAAAATGAAAATCTTATCACCGTCGCCGTCACCGACACTAACACGGTTGAACAGGTAATAGACGGCGGCGGCCAACAACGCTCTGACTGTGAGCCGCGTCGTCAGAGTTCACAAAAGCAACTGAGCAGGCAACTGTCGATCGCAACCAGGTGGGCCGCGAGCGCTAGAGATGAGCGTGCTTCGTATCGAAGGGAGTGTCACGAGTGCTTACCGATTTGAGAAGATTGTAAAATCGAATTTGCAGCAGTTCATTTAGGGCTCGAAAGGTGTAAAATATATTACTAACAAAAATAAATGTAGAGTAATTGAAAATAAAAATAACGTTTAGGAATATGCTGAGCATATTTTACTTTATTTTATGATATACTGTTCCCATTTTCACATCAAACCTAACTACTAAAAAATACAATTTATTTGGCTTTTGGCTATCCGTTTTCAACAAGTCAGGTTGGCCGAGCGGTCTAAGGCGCCAGATTTAAGCTCTGGTTCTCGAAAGGGAGCGTGGGTTCGAACCCCACACCTGACAAGCTGGAAAATTTCCTTTTCCTTTTTTTTTTTCAAACAAAACAAAATAAGTACGTTTTCCGCCCGCATAGGAAAATCATTTTGTGGAACAATTCGAATGCCGACTAGAAGATACAGCTGATGGCTTATATATTATAACCTATTATACACTACAGGTACACGAATTAATATTCAACTACCATCTTATTGATATATATGTATAATAATAAAGCGCATGAAAATTTTCTTGTCACGCACACATCACTAGCAAAGCGCTGATCGATGTTTTGCTCTCTCCCACTGTTGCTCTCTGTCCATGCCTAGAAAATGCGAGTTACAGTCATTAAGGTCGTTTTGACGCTCTGCCGCCAGTCGCTAGCCGGGTCGGGCCGGTGTTTTATGGCAGTTCTTGTTGAGCAATTCTCAGCTATTAAACTTTACCTGTCCCGTCAATCCCTCTCTCTTTCTCTCTCTCTCTCTCTCTCTCTCTCCCCCTTTCTATGTTTTGCAGCTCTTCAACCCACCCGCTGCGCTGCGCTCTATCTTCTTGTTACTCTTGGCTTTTGTTCTTTGTTCGCTGACGTTGTTGTCGCCTTGTGGCAATTTCTGTTTCTTTTCCTATTTCGCTTCAATTTTTTATATTTTGTATGTTTGTCTGTTTGCTAGGTTACCTTTCTTGGTCATGCGTTGACTCACGGGCGTTGTGCCGTTGATAAGCACGGCTCCGCCAACCGTGTAGGTGTTGACAAATCAAGAGAGAGAGAACCCCTCCCACCTCTTCATCCCACTAACAATGCCGGCCCTGTTATGGCCGAGAGTTGTTTGACAATTCGCATATAAACAAATAACTAAGTACTGTATATGCGATGTCAAACCGCAAATCTCTCGCTTACAGCAACCGCTAGATGTCGCCCTCAGTCGCTCGTTTGCGTCCCAATCCCAGTAGATGGCAGGAGGGGGCTTGGTTTAGGGGGGTAAGACAATGACGTTGGGAATTATTTTAGCTACAACGTCAAGGTGAAATTCATTTATTTAGTTCGCTGGGTTAATGGTGCATGGCTCGGTTGGGCTCGGCTTTGGCTCGGGTCCGCGCACTCAATTAGTGTCAGGTTTAGGTGGTTCTCATTTCAGTGGGTTTCCGTAGAACAATGCAAATCATTTTGCCCATTTCTGGAGAGCGCAAAACAATGACAACAACGGGGCATAGCTCTCTTCCCGCATAAATTAAGATACAAAATTTGCCAAAGTGCTAAATTATTAAATGATTGCTAAACGAGTTTTTATTTGTTTTGTTTGATGCATAGAGACGGGTTCTTTTTTTTTCGGGCGGGAAAGAGATTAGGCTGAACAGCTTGTCGTGGGTGTATTTTGAAAATATAATTGCAATGTTGTAGAGATAGCTTTGTGATTTTATTGTGGGTAGAAAGAAGTATTTCCGAAACTTTAAAACGCATGTGAAAGGCACTCGTAGCATATTATTCGAATGACTCAGAGCTTGACCTATTCTATGCACGTTTCGAACTCCAGTTCTTATCAAAACAAAAGGCGCGAGTTCTCCGAATGGAGAGCGTCACGAATTTCTATATGATATCTCAACGCTTTCAGCATTAAGATATCAATGATTTATAGCTATTCGGCTCTATTTCTATTTTATTTCTTTTTTCTCAGCTTAATTGTCAAACAGAGCCATCCAGAATTAATCGGGCTGGTCCATTAACTGCAATTGATCCATCATAATTAGCCCAGTTTGTGAAAAGAAAGTGGAACTTGGCCTATGCACATGGCTGGAAATCGCTTTATAATGTGCAAGGCAAATTAACAACAATTTTTCAGGCAATTTAACATAATCTTGATTATGCAGGGAGTGAAAGAAAAAATAAACTCAGTTGCAATATGCAATTTAAAATACCCTGTAATGCGCGAGTCATACATAGCTAGAGTATATGTTAATCTAGTTGGGTATTCTGTGGAATTACTTGAAATCGGATTTGCCAAAATAAAAAATAAAATAGCAATAACAAATCTACCTTATCTTGAAAATAATATTTAATTTTTTGCTTATGCTCCGGCTAGAACTCTAGCTCACATTTAAGTTTTCATCAGGCAACTTGTCATTTGATTACAGGGTATGCGCATAGTCACACAGCCCATGCCTCTATCGTTCCTGCCTTGATTTTTTTGTATGCATGTCAGCAACGGCAATGATGACGCCTTGGAGTAGTTGCCTCTGTGCCCACAATTTGTCTGCCCAAGTGGCATCTTTGCACTGCTCTCTGCATGAGACGTCGGCATAAATTGCAAATTGCGCAAAAACAAAATAAAATGAAGTTGCCTATGAGGAGCAGGGCGAGCGTGTGTGTGTGTGAGAGATGAATGCCACATTTGATGGCCGTTTACGTAGACACGAAGTTGCCGAGTTGCATTCTGACAGGGATTGCATTGCATAGCCAAAGAAAGAAGTGGAAATGGGAGACAATCTTTGTGCAAGTCTCAGAGTCTCAGAGACGACGAGCAGAAGCAGCCAAGTGTGGCAGCAGCTACAAAAAATAACAGCCAGTACAGCTATCTTTGGCACACCGACGATTAAATACCCTTGTAAATATAAGAAGGAGCAGGGTAAAATTATCGTTCCTGTGGTTGCTCTATGATACCATGGTCCGGTCCGGCCAACTTCCGCATATGTGCTGCTCGAATAAGAAGGACCTACAGGAGTCAGATCTGACTATATCGATACGGCAGCTAAAAGTGATCAAGAATCGTTGCTTATAATTCTCAAGTGGTTAAAGCCTCGAATCTCAAATCGCACCCTTGGTGCGCATACCTTGTTGCTGTTGATGGTTATGATGGACCCCGATGCGTCGATCAAGAATATACATATATACCTTATGTACACGTCTTTGCCTATGCGTTACATGCCTCGCAAGAAAATTATAATAACCTTTTACCATAGTATAAAAACATAAGCGTCTTGATGACGGAGGAAATGCTTGAGGGCGACATTGACAATGGCCAAGAGACAGGCGGCAAAGGTGCGCCACCTGGGAAACACACATAGACCGGCGGAGGTGGAGGCTTCAGCACAGAGAAAAAGCAAAGTCATGTTTAAGCACAGTGTAGAAGACGGCAAAGGCTTATGAAATGTGAAGCCGCGGCCTTTGTGCACAGTAAATGAATGGCACCTGCATCGGGCTGCCGCTGACTGTGTGTATAGCTAACAGGCTTATTTTGGCACGGCTGGGCTGCTTTCTTGACCGGGTCGTATGCGTAACCCGAGCACCTGCACTGACTTTTTGACCAGCCAAAGAGTCCAATTAGCCAGGTCGCAGCCGGAGAGGGCAGACGCGCCTCTGTGATTTGTGGCCTGTTTATGCATAGTGTACTTTTTGTTTTTGCTTTTTTTTTTTTGCCTGTGCGGTGATATCATCGGCACAATGTTTATCGTCTCGCCCTTTTCCGGCAGCCCACCCACCCACGAATCTAGTGAATCAGCCCTGGTTGCGTGCCTAGTCCGCCGTGCTAGTCACTTATTACTGTAATTGAAAGCACGGCCATTTGCTTAAGCATTAGCCAAAGTGCTGCGTAGAAGTGCATGGGATTTACTTTTGTCTATGATTGCAGCGACAAACCCAAGTCGCAGATCGTTGCTTTTGTCATAAATAAATCGTTTTGTTTTAATCGGTTCCAAATCGTTCACAGCAGGTAACCCCATTCCTTTATATCAATCTACGGCCAATGCACCTGATGATAGGTTTTATCTGTCCGCTGTCAAAAGAAATCAATTGTGAAATGTCAATAAAAATGTTCTCGGCTTCAATATGTTTGTTTTTTTCTGGTCATTCTGAGCAATACGTTTTGTATATTAGAGTCTAAAGACCATGCCAACCCAGCAAATATTTGCGTTGTTTAAAGTTGTACAAAATTATTTTCAAACAGCAAAAAAAAAAAAAACAAGTATTTTATACAAACGAAATATGGTTCGGTTGAAGCTTAAGATTGGCTGATCTTTATCTGACAAATCCGCTAAAGGTTGGGTTCATTCAAAATTAAAATTCCGTTTTTGAATCGATTTGGTGGAGATAAAGATACATGTTACTTCCAAGAATTTCAACATTTTCAAAAAATATTAAGTAAAAATAAAATCGAAACTTGTTATGCAACTTGTTATCCAAATAACCAAAAACTTAATTCTCCACCTATGAGATCTATACATTATAGTAGTATTCCGTCGTAGAAGTATTGGCAGAATAGATAAGCTCACAATTGCCGATTTGGTGAAGGTTCTCTTAGCTCGATCTATAGTTTCTATGACAGGTATATAATATATCCGTCCGATTATACCGATTCCGATACATGAATAGCCTGAAGCGAATTGGCAAAACTAGCTCAAGTTGTAACTAGATATATCTAAGACTG